AAAAAAAAAAAAAAAAGAAAAGAAAAGAAAAGGTATCATCCATCAAGAATACAATGTGATGTTATGTGTATACGATCTAGTAGAAAACAAGAAATTTCTAATACAAAAATTATTGTAGATACCTCATAATATGAGACTGCAACTTCTAATTGTTATCAACATAATGTGCAGTTACTGCCATGAATCCTCTCTTTTGGTGAGAGGATGTCCACAAATCTGTTGTGATGGCTACTCGACTCTCATTCATCTCGAAAACGTGCATCACGGATTCCTTCAACTTTTCATAAATATTAAAACAATCACTCTTTACTGTGTTCCTTGTCACCATTTTAAAGCAAGGATTCAAACTGTTTGCAAAGCTTTTGAATCCTTCATGTTCAACCATCTTCAAAGGATACTCATGCTTGATGATCATTTTTGCTAATTCTTCACGTGACTGCTCCTGATCAAAACTATAGGGCGACAACTCAAATTTTTCCTTCGCAAAATTTCCTTTTAGGACCATTTGTCTAATGTCTTGTGACTTTCTTAATTTACATCTTTCAAAATGTTTTCTCAAGTGACTAGTTCCTTGGCTTGGATCACCTAGCATATATTTCTTGCAATGTTTGCACATAGCCTTTAATGTTCCCTTCACCATCTGTGGCTTCTCATACTCTTTCCATATCTCCGCTTTAAGGTTTCCATAGAGTTCACCACTTTTGGTTGCCGTTTCATTTTCGTCCAAAGTCCGTGGAGTCACAGGAGGGCTCATCTCATCTTGAGAAGTATGCATATCAACAGAAATTGGCAATGACAATGTTGGTGAATTCTCAGGTGGCATATCAACATGCTGGCTAGAAGTCGGTCTTTCTCCGTGACCTACCATCCTGTGGATAAGTTTTAAAAATATAGTAAGCAGTATATAAGTTCAAGCATATAATTTGCAGCAAAAAAGCAAGTAGCAAGTATAAACAAAGGACTCTGGTCTCTAAGTCTCTATTCTAATAGAAACTGAAGAATTCACTTCCATGTAATTTCAAGTACACCTCCACAGCATCAATTCACTAATTCAGCACTTATCTTAAGATCATAAACTTATATACAATTTCTATATTTAAATAATTTTTCACTTGATAGGATGGATTTTTTCAAAAAAAGTTCAAGCAAACATCAAAGCTCTTTGAAAGTTGTTTCATTGAAAGTTACTTAATTAAACTTACAGATAAAACACTCAAAATTAAATTAATATTTACCGAGCATATTTTTAAACAACACTTGATAAATGCAAACAATCGGACAAGCACAGGAAAGTCGGCCTTAAGGACAGGTTTCCAAACCAAGACTGAGGTCCACTGTAACATTTTTTCTTTCTTTTTCATGTTTCTACTTCACCAATCATTAATCGTACAATCCAAGCAAACTTTAACATACCTATTCATAACTGAACCTAGTGAAACATTTCCAGTCATTCATATATTTATATTTTACTATTTTATTTACTTGTTATACTTTAATAATCATCAGATTTTTTTTTTCATATTCATATATCTGATTTGATATAGATAATGATGAAAATTACTTATCTAATTTACACACAAAGATATAGAAACATTCTTTAATTTTTGTAATAATGTAGTAACTACTAATTACCTTAAATCTGCAGGGAGGCGGCGGAAGCAGCGAGGCGTCGGAGGCGGCGAGAAGTCAGAGGTTAGAGATTGTGTCTTAAAGACGGGGAGACGCGATCACGAAGAGGAGATTGGGAGAGAACGGAGGCACGATTGCAGAAGATGACAAGAGAGGCGTAGTGCTAAGGGTAAGGTATGAAATCTGAACCCTAATTAGTAATAAAGTAATTACTTTATATATATTGTATATTATATATGTATATTATATATGCATATTGTAAATATATAAAACATCCGGGCCAGGTCGGGCCGGGGCGGGGCAGGCCTGGGCAACAGATAGGACCCGGACCTGGCCCGTTTTGCTAACGGGCCGGACCCGCCCCGGCCCGTTTTATAAACAGGCCAGGTCAGGCCTGCCCCAAACGTTGCGGGTCGGGCTGGGTCGGGCCGGGTCCAGGTCGTTTTTCCATCCCTAGTCTTCGCCGAGGGAGACAAGAAGGAGATCTTATCTGCTCACCCTATGCACGAGAAAAGTGGCCCAATTGTTTAGATATTTGGGTTGAATGAATCAATTATGGGTTTTTGGGCCAACATTTTACATAATAATTTGGTTCTCAAAAAGACAACACTTGGGCTTCAAAATCAATTCTTATAAATGGGGTTTGGAGAAATTGGGCCGAATTTAATCTTAGGACTCGCCTGGAAAAAACGGCTCGAATACGGTAGCGACGATAAATTGAACCGAAAACATATATATACATATTTCACACAATATTATTTTAAAATAATAATATTACTAATAAAAATATGCATTTAGACAAATAATTACAACTTGACCAATAAAAATATGTATATATATATATATACATTCAATTATAATAATAGTATTAATAATAATAATCACATTAGCAAATAATAATAATATAAGGAGCACAAATAATAATAAAGGAAATAAATAATAACACCAATAATCCACAATCGAACGGGGTATTACAGTCTATCCACCTTACAAAGAATTCCGTCCTCGGAATTCAAGAATAGACCTCTAGAAAGCAGTAAAAATACAAAGGGAAACTCAAAACTCAAAGTTCGGATATCGCCTCCGAAGCTCGGCCTCCTTTTCCCAAGTCGCTTCCGACTCGTCATGTCGGCTCCAAAGCACCTTCACCAAGCTCACTGCCCGGTTCCTCAACTGGTGGACCTTCTGGTCCAAAATAGCTACCGGTACCTCCTTGTAGGTAAGGTCTCGCTCGACCTGCAGTTCTCCGAAGTCCACCACGTGACCGGGATCATGCACGTATCTCCGCAACATCGAGACGTGAAACATGTCATGCACTCCCGACAAGCTAGGTGGTAAAGCCAGCCGATAAGCCAAGTTCCCGACTCGGGCAAGGATCTCGAATGGCCCAATATAACGCGGTCTAAGCTTCCCCTTCTTCCCGAAGCGAATCACACCCTTCATGGGCGAGACCTTCAGGAAGACGTGATCTCCGACGGCATACTCGTGCTCATCCCTCTTTCGGTCGGCATAGACTTTCTGTCTCTCTTGGGCTGACTGGATATTCTTCCAGATAGCCTCAACTGTCTCTGCAGCTCTAAGAATGAACTCCGGACCCATGATCTTCCTCTCCCCGACCTCATCCCAGTACAAGGGTGTTCGGACCTTACGTCCATACAAAGACTCGAATGGGACCATCTTGATCGTGGAGTGGTAGCTATTGTTGTAAGTCAGCTCGACCAAAGGCAAGGCACTCTCCCAGGTTAGGCTACGGTCCAAGACCACAGCCCTCAATATGTCTTCCAAGTACTGGATCGTCCGCTCCGACTGACCGTCTGTCTGAGGATGAAAGGCTGTACTGAACTCCAACCTCGTCCCCATGGCTCGGTGCAGGGTCTTCCAGAACTGGCAAGTGAACTTCGCATCTCGACCAGACACGATCTCCACGGGAACTCCATGAAGCTTGAAAATCTCATCCACGAACAGTTCGGCATACTGACTAGCCTTCATAGTCGTCCGGACTGGCAGAAAGTGGGCAGACTTCGTAAGGCGATCCACAATCACCCAAATAGAGTCATGCTCGTTCCTCGACCTCGGCAATCCCACCAAAAAATCCATGGTGATGCACTCCCACTTCCAGAAGGGAACCTCAAGTAGCTGCAACTTTCCTCTCGGTTTCTAATTCTCAGCCTTCACTTTCTGACACACCAGACACCCATTCACGAACCTTGCCACTTGCCTCTTCATACCTCGCCACCAGAAAGACTTCCTCAAATCCTGATACATTTTCGAACTACCCGGATGGACGGTGTACGGGGCACTATGAGCCTCTCTCAAAATCTCCCTTCGCAATTCCCACACCTTCGGAACACAAAGTCTACCCTCGAAGACCAAGGCCCCATCAGATGCGACTGCGAATCCTCCAACTCTACCGGCTTCCGACAACTCCTTCATCCGGCAAAGGAAACGATCATTCGGTTGCTCGGCGACTATCCTCTCACGAAGAGTCGGTCCCACAACCAAAGAGGTCAACATACCCCTGGCTGTCGAAGGTGGCTCCATTGCCTCTAGCTGTAGCCGCTCGAACTCTCGAGGAAGGACATCTTGCTCGGTAAAAAGACAGGACAACTGGCCATAACTCCTCCGACTAAGGGCATCGGCTACCACGTTAGCTTTCCCAGGATGGTAGCTAATCATGCAATCGTAGTCCTTGACCAGTTCCAACCACCTACGTTGTTGCATATTCAGCTCCTTCTGAGTAAAAATGTACTTTAAGCTCTTGTGGTCGGTAAAAATCTCACACTTGCCTCCATAGAGGTTGTGTCGCCAAATCTTCAAGGCGTGAAAGATTGCAGCTAACTCGAGATCATGAGTAGGGTAGCTCTGCTCGTGAGGCTTCAGCTGCCTCGAAGCATAGGCTACGACCCTCCCCTGCTGCATAAGGACACATCCCAAACCCATCTTCGAAGCATCACTATAGATGGTGAACTCCAAAGTAGGGTCGGGAATGGATAGAACGGGTGCGGTAGTGAGTCTCCTCTTCAAATCCTAGAAACTCTCCTCACACCTAAGACTCCAATCGAACCTCATGGCCTTCTTCGTAAGGTTGGTTAGTGGCTGGGCTATCTTCGAGAAACCCTCGATAAACCTCCGGTAGTATCCTGCTAACCCCAGGAAACTACGAACATCAGCAGCACTTCTTGGCGTATCCCACTAGCTCACTGCCTCGATCTTTCTGGGATCTACCTCAATGCCTCTCGCTGTCACAATGTGGCCAAGGAATGCCACACGATCCAGCCAAAACTCGCACTTCGAGAACTTAGCATACAGCTTCTCGCGGCGAAGAGTCTCCAGCACAATCCTCAGATGCTCCTTATGCTGGTCGATGCTCCGAGAATAAACCAAGATGTCGTCGATGAACACGATAACAAACTGGTCCAGGAAGGGATGAAAGACCCTATTCATAAGGTCCATAAAAACGGCCGGGACATTGCTGAGTCCGAACAGCATGACTACGAACTCATAGTGGCCATAACGGGTACGGAAGGCAGTCTTAGAAATATCCGAATCCCGGATCTTCAGCTGATGATAGCCAGAACGCAAGTCGATCTTCGAAAATACACTGGCTCCTCTCAACTGGTCGAAGAGATCCTCAATGCGAGGAAGGGGATACTTGTTCTTGACTGTAAGGGCATTCAACTCCCGATAGTCAATACACATGCGCATTGATCTGTCTTTCTTCTTCACGAATAGGACGGGTGCTCCCCACGGCGAGACACTCGGACGAATGAAACCAAGATTGAGCAACTCCTGGATCTGGGCCTTGAGCTCTTGAAGCTCTTTTGGCGCCATGCGATAAGGGGCCTTAGAAACAGGGCCGGCTCCTGGTACTAGATCAATGGTGAATTCCACCTGGCGGTCAGGCGGTCCTCCGGGCAACTCATTAGGAAAGACATCAAGGTACTCGCAGACGATAGAGACTCTCTCCGGGGACCTCTCAGAATCATCCTCGGATACCATAGAAACCAGATAGCCCTGACAGCTACCCTTAGAAAGGCTCTTCCTAGCTTGCATCGAAGAGATGACTCGAGGCACAGTCCTCGACTTCACCCCATAGAAAATAACAGGCTGATCAGAAACAGGGAAGAGACTGACTTCGCGCTCCTGGCACCGGATATCGGCTCGATAGCGAGTGAGCCAGTCCATGCCCAAGATCACATCGAAGTCCCGCATTTCAATAACATAGCAATCGACCTCCAAAACACGCCCACCAATACTGACTAGAAGACTGGAAATCATAGAATCGGAAATAATAATCTTTCCCGAGGCTAGACTAACCTCGAGAGGGTCACAGTTGCACACATTATCAATAGACAGGGCCTCCAAGCATCGAGAGGAGATAAAGGAATGAGTAGCTCCAGTGTCACATAACGCAAAGATAGGCACATTGGAAAAAGAAATCATGCCAGACATGGTACCTGCGTTGTTGGCTGTCTCGTCATGAGCAAGGGTATAGACTCAGGCCTGACCTCCAGCCCTCTGCTGGTGTGGTGGGGGCTGCCTGTGCTGCTGCTGCTGCTGGTAAGGTGGAGGAGGAAGCTGCTGTTGTTGTTGTTGCTGCTGCTGCTGCTGGGCATGCTGCCTTGGGGGCTCGGGGCAAGCACTGAAGAAATGACCGGGCTTCATGCAGTTGAAGCAAGCTCGCTGGGTGTACCGGCACTCTCCCGGATGATAACGACCACAGTTACGGCACCTCAGAAACTGGTCTCGTGCGAAGGGGCGGTCACCACGATGGTCGTTCCCACCGCACTTTCTCTTCTGGTTATCCCGGCGGGAATCAAACTTTCTCTTGCCCGAACTAGAGCCGGGCGGTGCGGAGGAAATGGGCTGCACTAGCTGAGCGGAAGGGGCAGAAACATTGAGAGTCTGATAACTCTCAAGCTGGGTGGCTCGAATAACGGTCTCATCAAATAAAAGATCTCCCTGGCTAGCAACATGCATACAGAGGGTTTGGTTCAGCCCATCCCGGAACTTGTGGGCCTTCTTCAGGTCGGTATCCACCATATGTGGAGCAAAAGCTCTCATGCAGTTGAACTCTCGCTCGTACTCCTCAACGATACCAGTCCCCTGAGTAAGATCCCAGAAAGCGCGCTCCATCCTCATGCGATAACCCTGAGGATAATACTTCTCCATGATCACCTCCTTCATGCGATCCCAAGTCAGGACATTAAACTCCGCATGCCTCAACCTCCAATAGCCGGACCACTATAAGGCAACACTTCCCTTAAGCATATAACGACCACAAATAACCTTCTGCTCGTCAGAGCACTGCAGGAGGTCAAAGTTCTACTCTAACTGACGGATCCACTCCGCCACAGCCTCGGGCCCTTCAGTCCCATGAAATTCTGGCGGAGTTAGACTCCGGAACTGGAGCACGATTTTGAGATGAGCCCCAGCCGGATTGGGAGCCTGCTGGTGAGGTGGAGATGGGGATGGAGACGGAGGTGGAGACGGAGTAGGCTGACGGTTGCGAGCATTAAGACGAGCCATAGTTCTACATTGAAAATGGGTCGAACAGTTTAGCGCAATAATAAAAGAAGTCTAAAGTTCAACACTAGAGTTCGAATTTAAAGGTGGATTAGTCCTAACCCCGACTTCATTCCAATAATCAATAATCAACCAATATACAATAATCTCAAAGTCATTCAGGTACTCATACCTGAGCTAGCGCGGCACGACGAGAGCGAGTGGTCTTAACATGAATTCGAAACACATAATCACATAATCATCTTTTTATACTTAAACCAGTCTACAGAAACGCAGACTGGCTCTGATACCAAACTGTAACGCCCCACTTTTATTTACCGAAAATCAGAATAAATTTTTCGAAATTTATTTTCATAAACATTTAAGGCGCTACTCATTTTCAAAACAATAATCAATGTTCAACATTTTCTTAATATTCAACAATTATCAATACTCATAATCAATATGAAAAATCCTAATAATCAATCAATAATCCAATAATGATCCTAGGGAATAATCCCTATCAATAATCCAATACTCCAATACTAGAAAAACAATAGTCAATAATAATGCAATAATATCCAAGTTCAGTTCAAAGCGGAAGCATTTATTCAAATTAAAGACCACCACTTGCATCCCCTCCGCCGTTCCGCTCTATCTAACCTGCATCCATGAAGAGCAGGTGGGGATGAGCACAAAGAAAACAGTAGTGCTCACCGCTATGCTATAAATGTTAATGTCAATAATCAACAGTAATCAATAATCAAAAGGTATGGTCTCAGCATGTATACGAAACAATAATCTATCCCATTCTCCAATCAATAATACAATAATCAGACTCATGTGCACACCTACGCATATACTACTGCTGACTATATATCGAATGTCCTCCGGTCCTACATCGAGTGCCAGCCAGTAGGAGTAAACCACCCCACCGGCCAAGGTCTTGCCTTGGACTTACCAATGAGGATCACCGGCCGAGGGACCTAAGCCCTGGTCTTACGGCTTCTCAAGGGAGACTACCCGAAGGTACGTTCTATAGCTACGGGGACAACCGTCTGGTGGCCGATACAGCTCACACCGAAGGCTACATGATTCACATGCATACTTTGATCATACCACAATTAAAACAGTAATAACATTTAAAGCATAGAAATTTTTCAAAACCCACCTGGAAATTTCGGTAGAAAATGGCACACAAAAGCAAGTACGTATGATGAGGCTCGACTCCTCAAACACCTACATTTAAGCGAGATATTTTATCAATAATTTATTTCACTACTCGGATTTAACATAAAACCCAAATTAATAAAAATTAAGACTTAAGGGTTTTAATCGGATTTTTCGTGAACTTGGAACTCTCTCATTTTTGCAAAATAGGGCACGGAAAATTAATTTGGAGACTCGAACTTTAAATAATTTTCTCAAATTTTTCTACTTCGAAAATAATTTTTTAAAAATAAGTTCGGGTCAAAAAAGGGCTCCGGAATACAAAATTTGGCTTAAAAACGAACTGGGCCCAAGCTGCTAAGTATTAGTCAAAACTGCCCTACTTGGGCCGCACACATGCAAACTGGGCCGAAAAAGGACTCTCAAAATGGGCTGAAAAAAGGCCTGGAATCAGCTGGGAAAAACGCGGGCTGGAGCGGGCCATAATCGGGCTCACGGGCCTACACTGAGAGGGAGATGATCGGGCCGAACGCGGGCCAAGAAGCCCGCACTGCTGGAGCCTGGGGTTTATTAAAAAAAATAGCTAATTCCGCTGTTCGAACTCATGACCTCGCATGAAGATTTGAGTATCGCCACCGCTGCGCGGCACGCCCGAAGTGTAATCTAAGAATACTTAAACTGGAATTAAAACCTGGGACCTGATTGGAAAACAGATACAGAAGTAAAATCGAACAGAGTTGCTAATGACCGAGTTTCCCACGGGGTTCGAACACTCCCAGGAAATTACAATTTGTACAAATTTACGCCAATCCCAGAATTCAAGATGTTCATAAAATCAGGTTTCGGTTGGAATATGAAACGACAATAATAGGCTCGAAATCAACGAACGACAACTCGAAAAATAATGACGAGACTCCGAATCGCTGGTAGACATCACACAACAGCAACAATACTCAATTTTTACAATAACCGAGAGTTCCGAATCACACGAATAATTCACGAACATAATCCGACAATCAAATCGATTAAACAAGCCGACAAATGAATCGAACTCAAAAGCCAACGAAACAATTCAACACGAACAAAAAATGAACGAGCGATATCAATCTGTATAACATTATACGAGGAGGTTCGAAGAGATTTACCCGTCTTCGGGAATCTCGGAAAGACAGGTCGGACGAATGGACCTCGAACGCTCAAACGGGACTCAGGCTTCGGAGTTCGAAAAGCTCGCTGAACAGCTGCTCGCGAACTAAATCTGACCTCGATGACGGACGCGACCTGAACTCTGTGGCGGACGTCGACGAACAGAGCTGCCGGAAGTGGAAGGTTCCGCCGAATTCAATGGCGGGCGTCGTCTGCTACGGTGCCCTGCTGCTCGGAGATGGGTGGCGACCGGAATCCTTGATGGTCGACGGTTAGAATGCACGGGGAGGATGGTGCTCGCCGGGAACTATGGCAGCTTCGCCGGAATCGAAGGTTCGCGATTAAATTTTGTTTTTTTTTTTTTTAACTGGAAGAAGGCTTCAGTTAACAGAGAGAGATGAAGAACTTGATTTGAAAAATTCTGGGGCTAAGGACTCGTTTGCTGATTCTTAAGTAAAGAGGGAGCAGATCATGCTAACGTGCGGTGATCTTTACGGAGATCTCGCAACTGATTTTTTTTTAAAAAAAAAAGGCAGAACGGGTCTTCGCCGAGGGAGACGAGAAGGAGATCTTATTTGCTCACCCTATGCACGAGAAAAGTGGCCCAATTGTTTAGTTATTTGGGTTGAATAAATTAATTATGGGTTTTTTGGCCAATATTTTACATAATAATTTGGTTCTCAAAAAGACAACACTTGGGCTTGAAAATCAATTCTTATAAATGGGGTTTGGAGAAATTGGGCCGAATTTAATCTTAGGACTCGCCTGGAAAAGACAGCTCGAATACGATAGCGACGATAAATTGAACCGAAAACATATATATACATATTTCACACAATACTATTTTAAAATAATAATATTACTAATAAAAATATGCAGTTAGACAAATAATTACAATTTGACCAATATATATATATATATATATATATAGACATTCAATTATAATAATAGTATTAATAATAATAATAATAATAATAATAATAATAATAATAATAATAATAATAATAATCACATTAGCAAATAATAATAATATAAGGAGCACAAATAATAATAAAGGAAATAAATAATAACACCAATAATCCACAATCGAACGGGGTATTACACCCTCATACTCAAACAACTCTGGAAAATAACCACTCAGCCACATCTGCTTGTTAGTCAGGTCCTCAAGAGCAGATATTTTCCTAATTCCTCCATTTTTGAAGCCCAAAAGAAAAATTCAGGGTCTTGGCTTTGGAACAATTGGCTGGAGATGTTGCCAGTCTTCAAGCAAGGAATCTGGAAGGAAGTTAGAGATGGCAAAACCACCATGATCAGTGATGCTGGATGGATTCCCAGTCTTGGTCTTGCAGCACCCAGAAGGATACTCAATGCTGAAATCCTCTTTGTCAGAGAATTAACCCTGGAAAATGGCAGACAGTGGAATGCAGAGTTGATATTTCGAATGTTCTCTGACTCAGAAGCTCATGCTATTATGGAGATCCATTCCTTGAACCCTGACCTTGAAGACAGATGGAGATGGAAATTGGACTGCAAAGGTGCATTCTCTGTGGCTACTTCCTATGCACACCTGATGAACATGAAACTCAGACACTTGGATATCGCAGAAGGAAGCATGAGAAAATACTCTGACTTGCTAATCAGGAAGAGAAGTTGGAAGCTCAAAGTCAAAGGGAAAATTTAACATTTCATTTGGAAATGCTTCACCAACACCCTGCCTGCTGGAGCTAATCTACTAAAGAAAGGCATTGATATTGATCCCATCGGCTCTCTATGTGGGGATGATGTTGAAACTGTTGATCACCTGCTACTCAACTGCAAAAGAGCCCTGGCTGTGTGGAAGATGCCCCCCCTTCAATGGGATGGAATTCCCACTAGACACTCTTCTTTCAAAAACTGGTGGTGGGAAGTCTGCTCCATTAGGATTCAGACATCTCCGAGGCTAGAATCCAGTTGTCCACCTATATACTATGGTGGCTCTGGAGATCTAGAAACTTATGGCTGTTCAACAAGGAGGAAATTCCAGTACAGATAGTGGTGAAAAAAGCCTTGGAAGAATGGATGGAGTTCAGTTCTGTTTCCCTAGTTTGAAGCTTCTATGTTTGGGCATTTCTCTTTCAGTAGGTGTTTTCTTTTTCTTCTTTGAGTTTGTGCTTCTGGTTGTCAGTTTGGTAGTTAGTTTTGTCAGTTTTGGGGCTACCTGTTTGGCCTCGGTTGTGCTAGCTGCTTTGTCTCTTTTTTCCTTTAGTGTTGCTTTGGTTTGTTGGTGTTGTTTTAGGACTGAAGTTTTCTAGCTTTGTGCTAGCTTCATGTTCCATGTTTAGTGTCTTGGTTTCTTTAGCACACTTTTCTAGTGTTGC